TTTTCTTTGCAGAACTGTATAGTCATTAGAAGAGTATTTTATATTGGGTTTTTATGTGTGTGTTTTTACCTAGTTGGGCATGGCATTCCGGTAGGAGTTGGCGATATGACCAATATTTTATATCACGGTTTAGTCATTTTAATTAACAATTATTTTAGCTGGTTTATATTTTAAATAACCTTGCTTTAATTAAACAATATAGCAAAAGTGCTTTCCAGAATCATAAAATGTGCTGATATTTGGAATGACAGCATAATTTGTGTGATATTGCTTACATTTAACTTACATTGTCTATTTTTGCCGCGCCCATGAAAATGGTTTTAAGCAAAGCCAAAGCAGGACTTAAATATTTAATTTGATCGATTTTCTCTGTTGATTTGGAACTTGAGTAAATGCACAACACAGTGGAGTTGCACAAACACACCTCACCTTGGATTTAAAAATGACAAAACAAAGTAAAAAAAAAATCTAAAATAACCATACATCACATTCAAACTCAAAAATAACCATACATCAGTTGAATTCTAAATAAATGTTGCAAGTCACAAAGTTTACTGCAGTGGTGTTAGTGAACTAAAGCGTTAAAACTTAAAACAAAAAACTGAAGTTTTAATTAAAACTAAATAAAAAATATTTGCCGAGCACATAACTAAATTACTAAAATCAAAATTTAAATTAATACAGAAAACATACAAATAAATGCTAATTCAAAATATGAATAAATACTATCATAGTAAATAAATAATACTAAAATAACACTGGTTGCATGGCAACTGTAACCAATAAACTCATGTTACACCCCTTAATAACCTGTTTTTCCTCATTTGGACTTGTGACACGTCCTGCGCTGTATTTCTGAGTTCAAACATGTTTCTTCATTGCCCTGTCGAGTAAATGACAAAGCAGTTTTGATGCACAAATATATCGTCTGTGGTATACAGTCATATCGCACAGCCCTACTCTGAGCTGTGTGTTTGTTATGCATCTGGAAGACAGAGTGAAAAACACGGAATGCATGTACGCTCCTGTAAAGCTGTATGTTTGTATTTGTTGCAGGAAGACACCCGGGACCATAGATGTGATTGGCAGACAGACTGCCACCATTAGCAGGGTGGAAGGACGACGTCGCCACAATCTGGAGGGGAATAATATCCAGGTTACAAACGTGACATGCTCTCACTCTCTCCTCAATCTCCACTGTAAAACTAACATGCCGGCATCATGTCTGGGAACTGAATAATTTGACTTTAACACTTGTAGGTGATCTCGGAACATTCCAGCTCTGAGGCTGAACCTGCCAAGATGCCACCTCCTTTCTTTCCCCCAGGACCACTGCCTCCAAACATCCCACCTCCTCCATTCCTCCCTCCTCCAGTCAGTCAGGCTCCACCTCTAATCCCGCCTCCACGTAAGTCTGACAACTGTGGAATTGTATTTTATTTTTTACATTTATTTTATATACAGTGGGGAAAAAAAGTATTTAGTCAGC